GCCCATGTCACCCTTGAGGAACAGATCCTCAAATGGCCTTAAGAATGAAAATAAATTGGTTTATCTAGGACAACTGTATGGGCTTAAACACCCAAAAGGAAACTATAACCAAAGATTAAAGGTGCCAATATAATTTTTTAAGAGTCCATAGGTATAGTTAAAGGCTACATAACAAGAAACAATACTAGATAGGAGATACCTTCTTTTGAGTTGTTGTCCAGGGTGGTGCAAGAGACTCACAGATAGTAACCTAGTATAAAACTGGGAAAATGAATAGCAAACCCCAATCTTATCTAAAGGAATATTGACAACTGATTGCTGCTAGTTGAGGAACAGCTGACCTTCTTAAAAGAAAGACCTCTAGATAGTCTGACTAGATTCACTGGGTTTACAAGTACTGGGGAGATGCTAGGGGTGCTGACAACACAGCAGACAGTAGCAGGGATGACAGAGTATAAGGGCTCTAGTGGGGGGGGAGGCTATGGGAGGGTGCCATCTGGGAAGTGGTATATAGATGAATAAGTTTGGGATGTTCCATGTGATATACACAAAAAAATTAACAAATTAAAAAAAGAGTTATATTTGAGGAGGAAGCATAAAAATTTATGTCATGTTAATTAGTAGAGGTGATAAACATTACTATTGATATCTTACTGATGATTTTGTACCCACATATGGGTGCCAAGGATCTGAGTGCAACCGACCATGACTAGTAATAATCAGATACATACAGATTAGAGATGCATGCACTAACATCTAAGTGTTATTAGCAAAAACAATGAGGCTTCTGTAAGAAAGAGTATATTTTAAAATGAAATGAAGATCTTTTTTAAAGGTTAAAAACTCATTCAATTTTATGTCTTACAGGGTTTATACTCAGTTCAGTATTAATTCAACTGTGAATCTAAAAATTTTATAGCCACTTTTGAAAGAGAAGTATCCTTGCTCTGGAAATTGTTATTGAGTACGTTAAAGCTGTAATGAAATGCTTCTTTTAATAAAAAAATGTCAAATTTACTAAATCAGTCAAAAATGTGATGTGGTAGCCCCATCTTACAGCATTTGTATATTTTTATTTTAAATTAAAACTGATTAGAATGTAAACGTGATGAAAGTAATTGTTTTAATCCATTTTATCATGACTATGCATTCCAGTTCTGGAACATGGACTTGCACATAGTGGGCATTCAAAAATATTTCTCATAAATGAGTGATGCTGTAGTGATTGTTCATCTTGCCACTGTGACAGAGTTCAAATGCTCTACATATTGTGAATGCTCTGCACACTGTTTTGTTTGTTTGTTTTACTTTTTCTTTTTATTGAATTTTTGAAAATTTCATACAATATATTTGATGGTATTTAGATCCCCACCCCTAACTGCACCTCCTTACTCCACCCAGTTTCACACACACATACACATACACCCACACAGTCACATGCATATATGGCTGAGAGAGTGAAATTTAAATTTGTGTTCTCAAATATTCTTTGGTGTGGGTCCATCCACTCGAGCCTGGTTAACCCAACAAAAGTCACATCTTTACAAGGGACTAACTTTCCCTTTCCCAGTAGCCATTGGTTTCCAATAATTCCTCAGAGAGGTTTGGGGTTTCTATGCTTGGATTTTTGTCTGACTTGAGCTTATATGGTACTTGTGCGTGCTGTTTCCATTGCTGCGAGTTCATATAAGTAACTTTCTGCTATCCAGAAAACTTTGTTTCCTTGTGTTCATACACCTCCTTTGGCTATTACAATCTTTCCACCACCTCTTCAGCAATGATCCCTGAGCCTTTGGAGGTAGAAGTTTGACACAGGTGTCCAATTCAGGGATAATCACTCTGTAGTATTTATTCTCTGTATGCTGGCCAGTTGCTGGTGTCTGTGTTAATCACCCTCTGCTGCATAAGGAAGCTTCTAGGATGAGATTTGAGAAATGCATTAATTTGTGGGTATACCAATAAGTCATTAGGAGTTGCTTTAACACTGTATCTATTTAGCAGATTAATAGTATTAGGTTCTCCCCTACTGCCCTTGGCCTATCTAGTCATAGTTTCCTAGGCCTGATATCAATGTCAGGTATGGGCTCCATCTTATGAAGTAGACCTTAAGTCCAATTAGAAAGTGATTTTTTACTCCAATAATATTTGTACCACTATTGCACCAGAGGTCATATCTTGCCAGGCCAGTTATTGTTGAAGCACACAGAATTCACAGCTGGTTAAGGATAATTATTAATTTTTTCTTCCGGTAGCATGCATAGCATGCTAGCACCTTCTAGCACTATGAAAGCTAACCAGTAGAGATGAAACTTTGAGGTCAGTGCCAGCTTGATTTCTCCTTGTTTTTCCTATGGCTCATATATGTAGTATCTTCAGCAGTAGCATCTTACTGTCAAGTTCTGTTGGCTGAGAGCAGGGGCCATGACCAGTAGTTTTTGAGAGTCTATGGGATCCCTGGTCAACAGCTTCAATAGAGGGAGTCCATCCCTGACAATGGGTTTTTATTTTGCTATCCTATGGTGTTTAGTTGAGGCATTGTCCCTCTGTTAAAGGTAACTACTTTTTTTCTTTTAATTTTATTTACTATTTTTATGTGTTTACATGCATTGCCTGCATGTAGGTAAGTGCACCCGTGTCGTGCAAAGCTTGTGGAGGACAAAAGAGGCTGTCAGATGCCCTGGAACTGGAGTTATGAACAATTGTTAGCTGCCATGTGGATGCTGGGATTTGAACCCGGGTCTTCTGCAAAACAGTCAGTGTTCTTAACCCCTGAGCCATCTCTACAGCCCCTAAATGTAACTTCTTTTATAACTATATAGTCTAATAATCTTCTATAGTGATAAATTTCTGTACGAATTTTTCTAGAGGTCTTTAGTGTTAATTATTCGTTCCCGTTCACACGATGGAATATTATTCACCTGTCAAAAACCCCACTGAAATTGTGAAATTTCAGGTAAAGAGGTGGAGCTGGAAACAATCATCCTGATCCAGAAAGACAAATGTCACATGTTCTTTCTCATAGCTAGATGCTAGATTTGAATTCTTAGATATGCAAGTTTTAATTGGAAAATCCAGAGGTCAGGAAACAAACTGTCAAGGTGGGTGGTGGAGTTTCCTTAGAGGAGAGAGAAACACAGTGATATAAAGGGGAAAGGGAAAAAAATAAAGTAGGAAGGATTAATTGGGGTGGATAATTCGATGGCAGGGCAGAGGAAGGAATATGGAACATTTCTGTTTTTAATAATAATTTCCTGTCATGGATTGAGACAAGATCATGTAGATCTTTAAGGAGTGCAATCTAGGCAATATATTTTAATGTCAGGTCTCCATTACCTCATACTCCTGAGTTCATTTCTTCTCTTGATCAATGCTGGTAAACAGAGTGGGCAGGTGAACTTTACCCTGTGAATTTATAGTTATCAACCTGAGTTGAAAGTGTACCCTTGTTTATTCAGCCTGTATTAACTATTACATTGTTATTCTTGTCCTTTTTGGTTAATATGTTCTTACTATACTCAGAATATGAGCATTATGAATGTGAAAAGTAATGTCAACTAATTCAGCTGTGTTATTTTAAATTATTTGAAAATGTTTTAAGTGAAATGTTAGGCTTGTTCCAAAGGTACTTAGGCAAATGTAAATTATTAACTTGTTTTTTACAGAAGTATTGTGTACCTAATGGTGAGAGCCTGGGTGCTTTAGGATTGTTAAAATCTTTATGAAACACCCCACTGAAGATGAGGTTGAGAGACTTGACTTTTATTATTATATTAATGGTCCCAGGAAAACTCTGTGCAGAAGGTAAAATTAATTCTTAATAGTCTTTATTCTCTAAAATATAAGGATTTTTAGCCACTTGAATGTTAAAATTATTTTTCATTTGATATACAAGGTTTCCTTATACTTTATATAATTGCAACTTTGTGTAACATTTATATAAATTTTTCTTTGGACAAAACTAGTATACTATTTTAACAGTAGCATCATTTGGATTTCAGTGAAATTCCTTTATTTCTCTAGTCTCATATTTGTCTTAAATCTAATTTTATGCAAGAATACATGTTTAACACTGACAGTAGTTGCCTAATTTTAATTTTATGTTCATAAAGCAAACGTTTATTGTGGGAAATTTGAAAAATAAATAATGAAATCATCAGCTAAATTTCTGCTCTTGATACTTTGAATTTTATCCAGGTGGTTCTTCATTGAGTGGAGTTATTAAGTAGTGATTTTTGAGAGGACAATATAGTTGATTATTCAAACAGGGACACAGAGAAAGAAAGGGTTCTAGTGATGATTACGTTGGGAAAACACTATAAATCAAAATGCTCAGTGACAGCAATACTGTGGATTTCCTATTACAGATCCTTTCTTTCTTTCTTTCTTTCTTTCTTTCTTTCTTTCTTTCTTTCTTTCTTTCTTTCTTTCTTTCTTTCTTTCTTTCTTTCTTTCTTTCTTTCTTTCTTTCTTTCTTTCTTTCTTTCTTTCTTTCTTTCTTTCTTTCTTTCTTTCTTTCTTTCCTTCCTTCCTTCTCTCTCTCTCTCTCTCTCTCTCTCTCTTTCCTTTGTGTGTGTGTGTGTGTGTGTGTGTGTGTGTGTGAGGGTCTCCCTAGTCCCAACTCACTTGGAACTCACTATGCAAACCAGGCTGGCCTCAAGATGTGCCTGCCTCTGCCTCTCAAACCCTGGATCAAAGGTGTGCGCCACCACCCCCTGCATGTGTTATTGCAGATCTTTATATGCAGACTCCCTAGTGTGGAAAATGAATGTGAGAGTGAAAGTAGGGCAATCTACTATTTGGGTGTTTAGGATGTTATCAATATTGTTAGATGGTAAGTTTAGTCAGGCAGTTCTAGGCAAGTTAGTCAGTTAAAAACCATCAAGAGGGCTTCTAAATTAAATACCTTAGAGTATTTGTTGAAATGAAATAGCCCATAAATTAAATTATAATTATTTTTTGTTGCATAGTTTAGGACAAATTTCTTCCAAGATGATGAGTAATATTATGCAAAATGATATTAATCTCATTTGATACGTTAAATTCTATAAGAGGATAACTTTTGCATAAGATTAGCTTTTATTTTATTTTTCTAACAAGGAAATTCCTGTTTATATCATCCTCTATTATCCAGGATGGCATAGTACTCTAGTCAATTTTCTGTTATGCAGTTATAATCTTATTTCACACAAGCCAAACAAATAACCTGTTAAAGTTTGGTGCTGTATTTCTATGCTTTTCCCCAGTTGAGAACCTCATAGATAAGAATTGAGTTAATTATATCCTGGATCTCAAATTTCACATCCCCTAGGACCCACTATAAAGTTTTGATGTGCTCTTAAGTTCACGAAGGATTTTGTAAAAAGGATCCTACTTTGTTTTATACTCACGTAATTAAAACATTATATATTTTATCTTATTGTTTTAGTCACACTATACTATTATTTATATTTTGCTTTTAACTTTTTATAGCTCTAAAATTTAATATAGTCATAAATCACTTTGCTTTGCTAAGAAAATTTAAAAAAATATCATATTGCTTCTTTGAGTATTTAATACAATGTATTTTGATCATATCCAGACCCGTTCCCTGATCTCCATTCCCATCTTACTGCCACTGCCCCATTTTATGGCCTCTTTTTTTTTTTTTTAAAGGCCTAGTGCTGTATTGAATCCACTATTAATAATGGTGGGCAGAGATCAGATCAGGTCTTCTTAGCATCTAGAGATAATATGAGTATGTGGGAGGAGGTGTGTAGGCCACATGCAAATATCTCACCATTTAATATATTTGAACATTCATGGGTTTTGGAATGGGAGTCATGATGATGGGGAGAATGTGGTCTTGCCTCAAGTCTCACTCTTAATCTCATTAAAGAATTTAAGAATGGATTTGCACATCGGGTCAGGCATAGAGAACACACACCTGGGAGATACTCAGTACTAGGCAGTCAAATCTGTACAACCAAGGCTCATGAAACATAGTGGAATAAGGGGTAGAGAGAGGGCTAATGCACCCCTCAACTCTTACAGGTGAGGCTTCTATGTACATCAGAGTGCAATACACGCAGAAAGCCTCAACTGGCCAAGTTTTGGAGAATAAGAGACTATAGAATGTAGGATGGGATTCCTATATAGTTCCATAGTTCCATCCATAGTTCAGGGGTCATTGCAGAAGAGGGGATGGAAAGATTGCAAGAGCCAGGGCTGGTTCATGAACATAAAGACGTGGAGGCTTCCAAGCCACTGGAGGCTTGCTTATGTGAGCCTGTGGCAGCAGTGGTATCAAACGTGGGACTCATTTCAGCTCAATGAAACAAGGGCCTAAAAAGGGAGGTGAGAAATAGGTGGTGGGCCAGCACTAGATTGAGAACTATTTGAGACTGATTGCTGCTGGGTGAGAGAGAGTATGACTTACATACAACCACTGGATGGGCTGACTAGACTCCAGTGGACTCATTCACACTGAAGGATGTTTGGGTACAAACATCTAAATGAATAGGACTCAGCATGTATGGCATATTGCATAGGGTTTGGTGGGGTATAGGGGGAGGCATGGATGAGGAAGGGTGTCTGGATGTGAGTGGGAAATGTTATACGAAATTTTAAAAGCTCAATAAAAAAAGAATGGACTCAAATAGGAGGCTTAGGACAATTCTATTATAATTTAAAGAAAAATCCTCAGAGCCTCAAGCAGTAACTCCCAGTAGGTGCCTTGAGGAGAAGAATGGAGAAGAGGAATAAAAGCCATAAAGCCATGCAGGCTTAAAACCAATTAGGGAAGGGAGCTTGAGGGAGAAAGCAAAGAAATCCAAAAAGTTGGGGCAGCCCAAGGCATCAGGGAAAGCATGACTAGAAAAGAAATATGAAAAAGAAAAGAAGAGGTTATGCTTTTCTGAATTCTTACAGAAAGCCTATGTCTGTGACTCTGTCTATAAGCACTATGCTAAGGGGCCGGGATTCCAGGCAGGAAAAATTTGCCATCTCATTAACACTCTAGGTGTTCTGGCCATCTCTTTAGCATAATTTAAGGTGAACTTCCTATCCTAGGGATGGTCCTGTGCCCTGATTATCTGGAAAAACTGGAAAGTTCAGGTTCCATTTAGGTCAGAAGTTGTTATTCTTTTGATCAGTTAATATTATGGGGCATGTTTGCAACTGTGACAATGAAATCAACTCCCTGCCAATACAAGAGAGGGGTAGAGAGAGGGCATGTTTGCAACTGTGACAATGAAATCAACTCCCTGCCAATACAAGAGGGTCAGCACCACAATTATTTGGTCCAAGTAGAGCTATGATGTGAATGAAATACTCACTGAATTTAAAAAGTAAGAACAATGTAAAATACTCTAACATAGTTTATCAAATAAAGCCTATTATTTTTACTTTTATTAATGTGATCACTAGAAATGTTGAGATGAACTCTGACTTTTATGGTGTGTCCGTGAGAGTGTTGTTCTGCAAGTAGGAAAAATACCTATGAATAAGTAGCCTGTCGGCATTGTCCTGAGTTCAGAGTTGCAAGCAGATGTGAAGCAGAGAGGGTGATATTTAGATTGTCACAAACCACTTTTCAATGTTATATAATAAAAATAAGTGTAAACTAAAGAATCCACAACCATTTTTTATTTACAAACATTGTTTTATCACTAGTTCCATGGGTTTATATGTCTTTCCATTTTCAGCTTGAGTTTTCCTCATTTCAGAGAAGCAGTGTGATTTTCCTACTGTGGAAAATGGGAGGATTGCCCAGTATTATTACACGTTTAAAAGCTTTTACTTTCCAATGAGCATAGACAAAAAATTGTCATTCTTCTGCTTGGCTGGTTATACAACTGAGCGAGGGAAACAAGAAGAGCGGATCAGATGTACAACAGAAGGCTGGTCTCCAAAACCGAGGTGCTTCAGTAAGTTGGTACACGGTGTTAGCATGATGCTGGCAGTATTCCAGTTACCTACTGCTTACCTCTATTAAACGTGTACAGTGACTAAACCTTTTGGTAGAAAGCGACAAAATTACCAAAAAAAAAAAAAAATTCTTTTATAAAATGCTGTTATCTGAAATCTTGTAAATTATGTTTTTATATTAAAAAGTCATTTTATTCATTTTTAATAGTACTCGTGAAGAAATAGCTAAATGACACATGCAGCTGGGTTATGTTTGCTAAGCAGAAACTTATTATATTCACAGTTTCCATAGGAAACTAGAGTATTATTTAAGATGTGACTTCAGTAGGGACAAGTCACTTTAGTACTTTTATCATGTGCAAACTCCACACTCCTTTTCTTTTAACATCCTTTAACAACTGAGCTTTTCTGAATTCTGACTTCAAATTGTGAGTAATTCTGTGATGGGTTCATCTCATTGCATCATGCCGTGCCTGTCTGTAAAAGAAAAGAAAGAAAAGGAAAGAAAAGAAAAAGAAACAATTTTTTTACTTGCTGACGATTTATAGAAAAAAAGCTTTTGGTATATTTTAAAAGATGTAAGAGTAGGATTGTCTGTGAAAACTGAAATTTGTAAACACAGAGAGCGTGAATGTCAACCCGATCAATTTTTATTTTTTGCTCTTCCAACTAAGAGTGATATGCTTTTGTGTTAATTTTCCAGTTTAGTAAGGGATAAGCTTAATTTCATCATTAAGGAAATAGGCATTGTAATTTCATCATTAAGCTAAGCAAAGACATTTTTTACAACATAGGAAAATGTACTAAACCTGACCTGAGGAATGGCTATGTCTCAGATGGAAAAGTACTGTACAAACTTCAAGAGAATATGCGCTATGGTTGCACTTCAGGATATAAAACCACAGGAGGGAAGGATGAGGAGGTGGTCCAGTGCCTGCCTGATGGGTGGTCTTCTCAACCAGCCTGCAGGAAGGAACATGGTATGTATACAAGAATGTTGTTCCCTAAAACTGAGCGTAATTGCTTATGAGGGTAATGGTTTTTTATTGATAGGCAGTTTTATTTCATTTAATTCACTTTCCATTATGTCTGCATATGTGAGAAGTTGACATTCTTTTGCTTTTATCAAAAGCTGGGTGTTTTCTTAATCCATCCAGCATGTTCTCGGCTCCAGCAGTTCTTACACTGGACTGATAAAAACCAAAAACAACAGCAACAAAGAACTCAAATGCCAAAGAGAAAGAGACTTAGTAAATGTATTTTGTGTGATACATGTAAATATTTTCTTTATTTTAAGATAATTTGTTAGTATATTATATTTAGATTATACAAATGCACAGAATATGCACAATCAAAACATTACTTCACGGAATTGGAGAAATGGCTCAGCATTTAAGAACACTTTCAAAGGACCTGTGTTCAATTCCCAGCACTCACATGGTGGCTAACAACCGTCCATAAACCCCAGTTCAGGGAATCCGATGTCGTCTTCTGACCTCCATGGGTTTTGCACAGCATGGGTGGACTTACATACATGCAGGCAAAATACTCATAAATGAGTGATTTTTTAAAAATACAAAAACATTATTTTACAAGACTTCATTTGAAAGTAGGTCTTTGATCAAGTACAACAGACAACATTTCAAAATAGAAACTGAGAGAGGAAGCTCACAAGAGTGAAAAAAGAACTACAAACTCAAAGCCAAAGTGGTCTTTTCAATCTGCGACAGTTGATTTTACTTTCTATTCAATCAAATATATTTTGAGGCTTCTTTTTACTACTCTAGGATATTGATGAAGTTATCAAAGTTCAGGAAACAAATGTTTATTTTTTTCAGAAACATGTCTGGCCCCTGAGTTGCAGCATGGAAATTATTCCACAATGGAGAGAACATTCAGAGTGAAGGACAAAGTCCACTACGAATGTGCCAGTGGGTACTACACAGCTGGGGGGAAGCAGGCCGAGGAGGCCGAGTGCCACGCACACGGCTGGTCTCTCACACCACAGTGTGCTAGTACGTGCTCTCTTTTGTTATACCTCCTTTCACTCTGGAGAAATTCATCTTGTGCTGAAGCTTATGTAATTTGTAGTGCGAGTAACATTTCATTTCTCCTGTTTCGCTTTTCATTATAAGCAGTTAATTTTGGTCACTTAAGTTCTCGAATAAGAAAATTTTGTTTTAGCTTATGGAATTAAATTCAAAGAAACCTACTCATATTTATCAAATATAGAAAATGAATTCATAAGCTTATAATTAGGACAGATTATGGCAATTTTATTAATTTCTATTCCAGATTTGGCTTGTCAATAGTTAAGTGAATTTTGTTTGATTAGGAAAAATAAAGTTTTGTATTTTTGCTCATTCTTTCATTTTTAGAATTAATGTGCTCCCCTTTGAGATTAATAGAAAATGGCTATTTTCATCCTGTAAAGCAAACCTATGAAGAAGGAGATGTCGTTCAATTTTTCTGTCATGAAAATTATTATCTAAGTGGATCTGATTTAATTCAGTGCTATAACTTTGGTTGGTATCCAGACTCTCCTCTATGTGAAGGTAAAATTTTAAACTTCATACCTACTTTATCAGATTTAATTTTTATGGCCTCAGAAAAATGCCTGTGATCATGTGTAATTTTAGTCCATAACAATATTTTTTTTAATTTTATTATTTTTATTTTATGTGTATGTGTGGATTGCCTGCATATAGGTAAGCGCACCTATGTTGTGCAATGCCTGTGGAGGTCAGGAGAGGCTGTCAGATCCCATGGGACCAGAGTTATGGACAGTTGTTAGCTGCCATGTGGGTGCTGGGATTTGAACCCGGGTTTTCTGCAAGAACAGTCAGTGTTCTTAACAGCTGAGCCATCTCTCCAGCCCCCATAGCAATATTTTTACAAGAATTTTTGTGTTTTAAATCATTTCTGTTTAAGCAACTTATAATTATTCTATCTGAAAAATTAAGCTTTCATGAGTTTGTAAACATTGTTATAATTAGTATATATACATTTTGTGTATATCTATATGTAATTATATAAACATGCCATGCTTGTGTGGGTGTGTGTACATGTGTGTATGGGCATGTGGAGGCCAGAGGTTGATGTCAGGTGTCTTCCTCATTAGCTCTTCACCTTATTTTTTTAAATTTTATTTTATGTGTGTTCATGTATTGCCTGCATGTAGATAAGTGCACCCGTGTCATGCAATGCCCGTGGAGGTCAGGAGAGGCTGTTGGATCCCCTGAAACTGAAGTTACAGACAGTTGTTAGCTGCCATGTGGGTACTGGGATTTGAATCTGGGTCTTCTGCAAAACAACCAGTGTTCTTAACCAGCTGAGCCATCTCTCCAGCCCCTCCACCTTATTTTTTTGAGATAGGGTCCCTCATTGGACTTAAGGTTGTTGATTAGGCTAGTCTGGCTAGTCAGTGACTAGCAGGGATCCCCCATCTCTGCCTTCCCAATGCTGGGATCACTGGCTCCTGGCACCTTGCCCAGCTTTTACATGGGTGCCGAGGCTCATATTCAGAATCTTATGCTTGAATGGCCAGTACATTATCAGCTGAGTTGTCTCCCCAGATCTTATATTTAATATTGTAAAACCTCCATTATAAATTTTAGAACTGTAGCTTGGTGAAGGCAATTTTTTCACTGGCCACCCATTTCTTAATGTGAAAATTCCATCTCAAAAGCAGTGGAGTCAGAAGCACACACAACTGGAGAATATTATCCTGAAGTGAAAATGGAATGAGGTCATGCAGCTAGAGCTGTCCAGAAATGTAAAAGCTAAGGTTCCATTTCTATCACTGGTTGTATTCAAACAAGTGCTATCATTACCTTCAGAAGACACCAATTCAGTAGCCGTAGACAGTCCTATTACAGTAGAGCAGAAGAGAGAAATTACTGTAATGTGGCAAATGGCAAAATCTAGTACAAAATGCTTGAGTGGACATTCAGCATTTTTATTAGTGCAGTGTGAGAGAATTTTCACTTCTACATTCAAAGAAGTGGCAGATAATATTTGAACTGAGCCTGAAAAATAAGTGGGAATTTGAGGATTTGATGAGGGACAAGAGGTAAAAGGTGTGATAGCCACTATTTTCTCTGTAATAGACGAAATTATGTCATTATTGACAGGCAGGTCAAAGAGATGAAAGTGAAACTTAGAAAAGGATGATGATGGTTGAAATAGATGGGTGATGATGGCTGTAAGAGATTTCTGCACAGGACATCTAATGGGAGTGCCTGAACACATCACAAGTTTGGAATGCAGTGAACAACAGCTTCAAAGATTTTGCAATTTTCTAATTGTTCTCAACAGCTGTGGTTTAAGAACATGGAGGAAAATTGGTAGCTAGTTGTCTGTAACATATTGCCTCAAAAATAATGCCAGACCTACTTACTGCCTTTCTGCACCCCTCCAAGTTAGTCAGCATGCCAACGTACCTGTTATTTTATAGTCAATAGTCATTACGTGTAGCAGGGTAGGCTGAATGATGCTTCCCCTCCAAAAGATATTCCTGCCCTAATCCTCAAATAAGGACAGAGACTTTATGTGGCAGAAGAAACTGCGAGGATGATTAAGGATCTTTAGGTGTGACCATTATCTGAGGTCATTTATTTAGACCCTATATATAATTACAAGTGTTTTCATAAGGAGGACTTGACTATAGAAGAGGAGGTCAGAGTTGTGACAATGGAAAGAAACACTAAAGTGATCCAAAAAAGGGGCTGCGCCAAGCAATCCAGGCGGTCTCCAGAAGTCAGAAGACAAAGTGTCCATTTTCCCTTTAAAACCTCCAAAAGGATCCTGATCCTCTACATATAGCAGTGAAATTGAACACAGACGTTTTTGCTTCTAGAACTTAAGAGAATAAACTTATTTTATTTATTTATTTTTTTTGGTCTTTTTGAGACAGGGTCTCCCTGTAGCCCCAGCTGTCCTGGAACTCACTATGTAGACCAGGCTGGCCTTGAACTCACAGAGATCCACCTGCCTCTGCCTCCCGAGTGCTGGGACTACAGGCGCGCACCATCACGCCCAGCATACTTGTTTTATCTCAAGTCACTACATTGTAGTAATTTGTCACAGTAGTAATATGAAACTAAGAGTGTTTTATAATTAAGAACAGATTTTAATTCAGAAAAACATGGACTCAAGAACAGATCTGACATCTAATACTAATTTGAGTACTTCTAAATTTTAGCTTCTTTATCTATAATAATGTGAGAAATAACAGTCCCTACCTAAAAATCTATTTAGGACTAAAGGAGATGAAGACTATTATACTCAAGGTGGTACCAGAGCATTACTTAGGTTTCTGAAGGCCAGACCTTCAGGTGTGGTTTCACTGGCTGCTCTGCATCAGTGCCAGTGGAGCCTGCAGTCTCATCTAAGGCTTGGCTGGGCAGGGCCATTCCAAATTCATTGTGGGTGCTGGCACCATTCTGTATTCTGAACTCGAGCATCAGTCTTTTGGCTGTTAGCTGGAGGTGGCCCTCTGCCCCTTGCTTCAGGCCTCCTTCATTTGGAAGCACACAGTGTCACAGCTTGCTTCTTCAAACCCGGTAGGGAGAGACTCTTTCAGCAAGAATTGTACAAATTTACATTGCAGGATCATGTAGCATAATCGCATGCTAATTAATACCCTTTCCTAAGGTCTAGAAACAAGTGACAGGTCCAACCTATGGAGGGGGATGCTATGCCAGAGAGGGGAACCTCTAGAGTCTGTCTGCCATATTTTCCATGGTGCTTGAGACTGTAAACATTCTCACTAAATTTTGATAATTTTTTTTTTGGTAATTATAACTAAATAAGCTGATATTTTCCCCAAAGGAAGAAGAAACCGATGTCCTCCTCCACCTGTGCCTCTAAATTCCAAAATCCAAACACATTCAACAACTTATCGTCATGGAGAAATAGTTCATATAGAATGTGAACTTAATTTTGTGATTCAGGGACCCACAGAAATACGCTGTGAAGATGGAAAGTGGACAGAACCTCCCAAATGCATTGGTTGGTAACATATATTTTTTTTAGTTACAGTTTATTTATATGCTAATTAGTGTAATTAATGTATTTCAATATGACTTTTCCATACATATATATGATTATACCTTGCTATTAAACCTTACCCTTACCCCACACTACTCTTTCCATTGGTAACATTTTGAATAAGTGTTTCCTAAAATTCTTATGTGGCTAAATGCTCTCTTCTCTTTAAATTGTACCTTCACAGAAGTAAAGGAGAAAGTAGCCTGTGAGCAACCACCCACTGTTCAGAATGGTGCAGCAAACCCACACTCTGAGGTTTACTACAATGGGGATAAAGTGACGTATAGGTGTGAAAGCGGCTATCATCTCCGGGGATCAAATGAGATAACTTGTAATCGTGGGCAATGGACACTGGCCCCTGAGTGTGTTGGTATGTATGCTATGTTTAACATTGGGAGCTAAGCCCGCGGTGCTAAAAGTTTTCATTCTGTTTAATCTGCTGCTTGAAAAGCTTAGAAACACATGCTACTGGATCTACTGTGTTGGTTTTTTGGGCATACAGACACATCTATAGAATTTAAGCCAATGTAAATAATTCAGAACTAAAACAATCATTTAACTTAAATTAGTGCTAGGCACTGTTATGCGAGCTGTGCGAACCTTATGACCTATGCACTTTAAATGACTACACATGTGTGAGGTTTGTTTTATTAGAGAACAGCGGGCATATTGGGTTAACGGCTGGCCATGAGTGAGACCTACTTCCTCTTCCCACGTCAGCATAGAACACTTGCTCTTGGACCTTGTGTAAATCCTGCTGACATGACTTTTGGATAGGCCATTCTGAACCTTGTACCTTCTAAGAGACTTACCCTGGTGCTTGGTTTTACTGAATGATATCACCAGGCTAAACTATCATTCCTGGTTGCTACCCTTCCTGCTATCTTTCTCATGTCTTGATTGCGTACTGGAAAGAGCTCCCCAAATGTATTTACCTGGATATTTTTTGCATAAGACAAAACCTATGAAGGATGTTAGGTAAATTAACAGAGGAAGGGACCATGTATATAAATATATTTATTTCATCGATGTGGCGTGTTAATTGAGAACAGGGATGCAAAAGAATGAGAAGGAAGAAAATAAGAGTGGCTTAAGGGTCAGAGCAGTTTTAGAACTGGCTGTTATCTTTAGGTCAAAGTCCATCATTTCCTTTTCTAAACATTTCTAGAGTATCCTCATCACAGTGCTTTCCAATCAAGAAAAGAGAAAAATATGAAAACCCGCTCTTGCTATTTATTCTTGCTTAATAAATTTAAAATGTACAGCTTGGAGAGATGACTCAGCAGTTAAGAGCACCGACTGTTCTTGCAGAAGCCCTGGATTCAAATCCCAGTACTCGCATGGCAGCTAACGCCCATCCTTGACTCCAGTTCCAAGGGATCAAGCACCCTCTTCTGGCCTCCACAGGCATTGCACAACATGGGTGCACTTACGTATATGTGGGCAATACACTCATACATATTAAATAAATCTTAAAGACTTAAAAATTGAATAAAAAATTAAAAAGTAGTTAAGCTGAACTTGTTTTTAATTTCTAATGAACTTAGAAACAATTGAACTAAATGATTCAGCAAAAAATATTGTTACCATAGTTTGGATAACTATATATTATACTGTTATGAGTTTATTAAATTTTTATATAATCTCTTTTAGAAAGTAATGAGAACTGTAAGCCTCCACCTGAGGTTGCAAATGGGGTTGTGGTTGGTGGGTTATTGGCAAGTTACACAACAGGATCTTCAGTGGAGTACAGATGCAACGACTATTACCTATTAAAGGGATTGAAAACATCTCATTGCGAACAAGGAAAATGGTCATCTCCACCTGTTTGCCTGGGTAAGAAGAATACATCGAATTTATTTTAGTATTATATTTATATTTTTATAATGTTTACAGAATGGAAATGATTTTGCATACATTTCCCCCACATTTGTTTAAGTAAAAGACATGTATCTTATAGCCTAGAGCTACTTTCATTTTTTGCTTATTGTTTTTATTGTAGGAAAATACACATAGCACATAATTGATCATTTTAAGCATGGTTAGCATAAAATTCAATGGTGTTATGTGTATTTAAACCTCTGTGTTTTCCTCCAAACTGAAAATTTCCCCTCCTTGTAGTCTTCAGTATCTGCTTGTGTCGCCCTCACTCATACTGTCATTCAGAGCGAAGGGAGATCACACCAGAGCACACTGCTGATGACGTCTGTGCAATTGCTTCTCTACATCCAATGACCACGTTTGTTACACCTTGAAAATTTACTTGAAATAACTATTGTTGATGACTTAGATACACAGGTATGACAAAGTGATGACACGCACAAATACATCTATGCAGCACAAAGGTGCTGTGACAGTGCATGGTACTTGTTTTCTCCACTTAAAGTATAAACATGGTTTGACTTACTTCTAAATGTGGTTTCATGTCTGAATGAATCCATAGTGTTTGTGCACCATAAAATAAAATAATCTTTCTATTGATGTATATTCAGTGTTTAACATTTTTATAATGTTTTCAGATTTCCTGAACTGGAATTTTCATACCAAAGACATCTGAATTTTTAGTTTTTTCTTTTCTTTTATTATCACTGTTCTTCTTCTTGGGTAGTGGGGGGCAAGGTATCTTAGACCAGGCTGGCGTGGAACTTGCTGTCTAGCCAATGATGACTTTGAACTTTCAATGCGCTTGTCTTCACCTACCAAGTGCTGGTTTATGTAGTGCTGAGGATCGAACTCAGGGCCTTGTACATACTAGGCAAGCTATCTACCAACTGAGCCACATCTCCAGCCCCTTAGGTTTCTTTGAATTTTTGTGATTTTCATACAATATATTTTGTGGTATTTAGATCCCCTCCCTACCCACATTTCCCCAATTGCCCCACCCAACTCTATATGCTCCACTATATATACACAATATACTCTATACAGTCTGATCTTTGTCCTCATGTGTCTGTCCCTCAGCGTGGGTTCATCCACTGGAAATTGGTCAACATACCAAGAGTTCAGTCCTTGTAAAGAGAATGCCTCTCCTGGTCCCAGCAGTCATCAGTTGCCAAAAGTTCCCCAGGTTGGGTTGGGATTTCTTACCCACTTCCCCATGTCCATGCTGTTTTTTTTCTAGTTTGAGCTTGTACATGGAACTTGTGCATGCTGTCACCATTGCTGTGAGTGTGTAAATGAACAGCTGCCTGGAAACTCTGTTTCCTTGTGATCATCCACCACCTCTGGATCTTACAATCTTTCTGCTCCCATTTCCACAATGATCCCTGAGCCTAGGGAGGCAGAAGTCGGACGTAGGTGTCTATTCAGGGATTAGCACTCTGTAGCCTCTTCTCCTCTGCACACTGGCCAGTTGTGAGTTTCTGTGTTAATCACCATCTGTTGGATAAGGAAACCTCTCTGGTGAGAGTTGAGAGATATATTCATCTTATGTGTACAGGTTGCATTGAAGATGTGTCACTTAGGGCTAAGTGTCTCAGACTTACTCTCTGTGCTTGACCAGTTTTGGATCTCAGTATTAGTTGCAAAAAAGAAGTTTCTTTGATAAGTGGTGAGAGGTACACTTTTCTGCAAATACGGGAATGCATATTTAGGATATAATAAGTAATTACATTGGTCTAGGGATGTGGCCACAGTAGGTTTTTCTTTAGAATCCATGGCCTCTCCTGCCATGTGTATTTGCCTATGTATATAGTATCACACATAAGTTCCCTCCCATTGAGTAGGGAGCTTACATGGTATCCTCTGATATCATAAGATCTAGTCTTCAGGGAGGAGGCTTCCAGGTCAGTTCAACTCAATTATTCTAGGTCCAAAGTATGTCCTGTCTTCATCAATAAGGGCCTTACCTTCAAGGTAAGGAGGCAATCAAGGGTTGTGGCAATAGCCTTTGTGATTTTGGGGGTCTCTTAGACTGCCCAGACCAACACCTCGAAGGGCCGCTTCTCTTGCCCCGCACTGTGCTTTTGGTTATATAACCTTCACCTATCCCTATGTCCTTTACACATATTGTGTGTGTACGTTTCAGTAGGACTGTGAGCTAATACAGTTCCCTCTGGTGTTTTACATAATCTAAACATTATTATCTCACCTCTCACTCTTTCTGTAGGACCCTCCCTACTCCCTCTTCAGTTAAAGAATTCCCATTTTCCACATCTTCTTTATAACACCTGGCTCCTACTATCCCCCTCTCTCAAGCTCCTTTTTCCCCTTTGCCCCATGTTGCCTTTCTATTTTCCTGGCTCCTGTGGTCACATCAGGGCATTTATGCACATCTAAGAATTGGAGCTAAGATTCACAAATGAGAGAGAACATGCCTCACTCATTTTTCTGAGTCTGTATTACTTCACTTAGTATAACAATTTCTAGTTCCAGCCATTTATCTGCAAATTTTACAATTTTGTTTTTCTTTCCTGCTGTCTAGAACTCCATTGTGTAAATGTACCACAGTTTTATTATCCATTCAGTTTAAGGACATTTAGGTTGTTTTCATTTCTTCTTTTTTCCCAATATATACTTTTAATTGAATTTTTTGCATTTCATACAATGCATCTTAATCATATTTAAGGCCACCCCCCACTATCGTATGCTCATGTCCCCCACCAACACCAGATTTCATGCATACTGTCATATATGTTAAGGCATATCAAGTCAATATTATGTCCCCTGACATCCCTTGGTATGAGTTCATCCCCTGGAGCGTGGTCAGCCTACCCAGCATCATTCCCTTAAAGAATTCGTTCACCCAGCAGTGATCAGTTGCCAATAGTTCCTCTGATATGGTTGGATCTTCTTACCTGTTTCCCCACTTCTATGCTTGGTTTTTGTCTGGTTTGAGTTTGCCTGGGTCTTATGCGTGGTGTCACCTTTGCTGTAAGATCATATATGCAAGTTCCTAGAAGCCTGGAAAACTGTTTCCTTGTGGTTATTCACCATCCCTAGCTCTTAACAATCTTTCTGCTCCCTTCTGCCACAGTGGTCCCTGAGCCCAGGGTGGATAAGGTTCAATATAGGAGTCCTATCTAGGGATATGCACTCCGCAGTTTCTTATTTTCTACATTTTCGTCAGTTGTGGCTTTCTGTGTTATTCACCTTTTGTTGCATGAGGACGTGTCACTGGTGAGAGCTGAGAGGTGCATTAATATTCTCTCTGCCCCATGTTTCTCTATGTTCCATGAGCCTTAGGTGTAGAGGTTTCATTTTAGATGTGTCACTTAAGGTTGGGCATCTCACTGACACTTATGCTCCCTGACCAGTTGTGGAACTCTGTAATAGTCTCCATTTGGTGCAAAAAGAAGCTTCTTTGATGAGTGGTGAGAAGTATACTTGTCTGTAAATATAAGGATGCATATTTATCATATAGCAAGAAGTTACCTTTGTCTAAAGATGTGATAGAAAATGTTTTTTTCCTAGGATCTATGACCTCTCCTGCCATGTGCATTTGGCTATGTTTATAGTATCATGCATGAGTTCCCTCCCATCGAGCAGGTTTTAAGTCCAATTAGATAGCTGTTGATTACCCCCAAGATAAAAGTGCCACTACTGCACCGATAGAGACAGTTTGCTGTATCAGTCATAATTGTGGTTATTAGGCTTTACAGCTGGATTGACTCATTGATAGACTTTTTTCTTCTTTAGCAGTTTGTATAATATGCTCCAATTCTACAAGAGCCAGTCTTCAGGGAGGAGGATTCATTGTTAGTTCCAGCTTGCTCAGTTGCTCCAAGTCCTGTGTCTGAAGTATATCCTATCTTCATCAATAGGGTCTTACCTTCAAGTTCCGGTAGGCAATCAAGGACTGTGGAAATAGCCTGTATTATTTTGAGAGTCTCTTTGACTACTCTGACCAACAACTCAAAGGGAGGTTTCTCCTGCTGGCATTGTGTTTTTGCTATATAGCCTTTGGTCATACACGTGCACTCATGTACAGATATTGTATGTGTATTTTTTTTTCAGTAGGACTCTGAACTAATACATTTCCTTCTGGTTTTTCACACCGCTGAAGTATTGTTTGTCTCTCCTCTCACTCCCCCTGTACAACCCTCCCTACTCCCTCCCCAGTTAAAGTACTCCCATTTTCTCCATTTCCCCCTTGATAACACTTGTCTCCTATTATCCTCCTCTCTTGGGCTCTTCTTCCCCATTGCCCCCATGTTTTCTTTCCATTTTCTTGGCAGTCACATCAGAATATATATTCGCATCTAAGGATTTGGAGCTAAGATCCATAAATGAAATGGAATATATATCACTTGTTTTTCCGAGTCTGTGTTACTTCACTTAGTATAACAGTTTCTAGTTCCATCTATTTATCTTCAAATTTCATGATTTTGTTTTTCTTTACCACTGTGTAGAACTCCATTGTATAAATGTGCCACATTTTCATTACCCATTCATCAGATGAGGGACATTTAGGTTGTTTCCGTTTGTTAGGTGTTGTGAAAAGAGCAGCAACAAACATGGCTGTGCAAGTATCTCTGCAGTAGGATGAGTCCATTGGTTTTATGCCTGGGAGTGGTATAACATGACTGTATGGTAGAATTATGTTTAGTTTTTAAAAATTATTTTTATTTTAAGTGTATGAGTATATTGCCTGCATGTGTGTAAGAGCACCTATGTTGTGCAATGCCCACAGAAGTCAGAAGAAGCAGTCAGATCCCCTGGAACTGGAGTTATAGGTGGTTCTTAGCCACCATGTGGGTGCCAGGAATTGAATCTCAGTCCTCTGGAAGAGCAGCCAGTGCTCTTAACAGCTGAGCCATGTTCTCCAACACCTATTTTTAGTTTTTAAAGAGTTCTCCATACTATGGTTGCACCAGTTTGAAATCCCACCAGCTGTGAACAAAGGTTCCCTTTCCCCTGAATCCAGGACAGCATTTGATATCATTTGTTTTCTTGATCCTAGCCATTTGGACTGGGGTAAAATGGAATTTTAAAGTGGTTTTGATTTGCATTCCCCTAATTGTTAAGGATTTTGAACACTTTTAAAGGTGTTTCTTAGCCATTCTTATTTCTTATTTTGAGGGCTCTCTGTTCTGGCCCATAGCCCATCTTTTAATTGAATCAGTTGCTTTTTTGAGTTCTTTCTATATTGTGGATACTAATCCTCTGTTAGATGTGTAGCTGTTGAAGATTTTCTCCCACTCTATGGGCTTCCTCTTCACTTGATTGATTGTTTCCTTTGCTGTATTGAAACTTTTTGTTTAGTGAGGTTCCCCTTGTCAGTTGTTGACCTCAATTCCTGAGTGACTGATGTCCAATTTAGAAAGTACTTTCCTGCATCTATATCTTGTATGGTGCTGCTTATGTTTTCTTCTAACAGTTTCAGCATCTCAGGTTTCACATTAAGGTCGTTGATCCATTTAGAGTTGACTTTTGTGCAGGGTGATAGATATGGGTCTAATTTTGCTTTTCTATATATGGAGATTCAGTTTTACCAGCACCATTTGTTGAAGGTACTGTCTTTCCTCCATTGTATATTCTTGACATCTTTGTCAAATATCAGGGGGCTGAAATTACATGCATTCATTTGTGCCATTGAGCTAAGTGTTGTTTTTTGTGCTAATATCATGCCTGTAATATAGTGTGATATGGTATTTCCCCCAGCCTTGCTCTCTGTGCTCAAGATTGCTTTGGCCATCTAGGGTCTTTTGTGATTCCATATGCATTTTAGGGTGTTTATTTTATAATTCTGTGAAGAATGCTGTGGGGATTTTTATTGGGATTGCTTTTGGTAGGGTGGTCATTTTCACAATATTATTTCTACCAATCCATGAGCACGGGAGGTCTTTCCATCTCCTTTCAGTCTCTTTCTTTAAGGATGGCATTCATTTTTTAGTACTGGAAATTTCAAATAAGGCATTCAACTCTATTTTTAAAATAATATTTTCCTTTTCTAATTGAATGCTTGAATTTCATACTATATATTTTGATCATATTTTGATCACCTTCCCTATCTGCACCCTGCCCAATTTCATGTACTCCATTATACATATAAATAAGTATATGAATAGTATTGATTTTTGACAAGTTCATATATTTTGATGATATTCAACTTTACCCCTATGGCTCTACTCACCACCTCAGCTTTATGTCCTCTTTTTTTATTTTTTTTTTAAAGACCATCAACTCGAATTTGTGTTCCCCACATATTTTTGAGTGTGGGGCCATCCCTGAGTCAGACGGGTTAAAAAAAAAAAAAACCTGACTCCCCCTCTTCCAGAAGCCATCAGTTGTTCACAGTTCCTCAACTAGAGGTAGGGCTTTGTACCTACCTCCCACTTCCATGCCGTGATTTTGTCTGACTTTAGCTTGTGTAGGTCTGGTGTGTGCACTAATAACTAGATTCACATGTGACACTGCCCTGCTGGGGCCAGAAGAAACTGTTTCATTGTTGTTACCCACCACCTCTGGCTTGTATGATCTTTCCAATCCCTCCTCCATGATGATTCCTGACCCTTGGTTGAGAGCTGTGGTATAGCTATCCCGTTTAGTGCTGAGCACGCCAAAATCTCTTATTCTCTCTGAATTGACCAGTTTTGGTATCTGTGATAATAGCCATCTACTTTAAAAAGAAGCTCTCTAGGAGGGCAAAGGAGCCTAGGCCCAGGTTGTGATAATGGGGATCTGGTGGGCCAGTTCTGACTAGCTACGCAGTGAAGATGTGTGCCCTGGAGCTGCAGAGTGTCTAGGGCTGATTCCAAAGCTGAGGAATGGTGACCTGCCTGGAGGGATCTTGCTAACTCTCCCAGCTAGTCAGGTGCTCTCTGGTAGATTCAGTAAGAAGGGGCGGACACCCAAGGAGGGCCCATGGGAACAGGATGGGCTGGTTCTCATTAGCTAGCAGAGAAGGCATGAGCTCTGGTAGTGTGGTCTGGGAGTGATCCCAAAGCAAGAGGATGGATTCTGAAGGCTTTGGCTCATTCACAACAGCTAGTCAGAAGCTCTCCTACAGCTTCAGTGCTGCAGTAGGCCTGGGGGTGGTCCCAAAGCAGAAGGATGGGTATCCTTTAGTTTTTTCTTAATTGTAGAATTTTCCTTCAGATATTTTATTCTGATTTATATACCATCAGGGAATTAATGTTGCAGTTTTCTTAAGTGTTGTAGACCTGAATATTTAACTTATCATGTTGTTGTTAATCTAATAAGCAAAATTATTTTAATTCAATTTTTTAGGCATAATTAGTATTTAGTTTTCTTGGGGCCACAGGCTTGGGTTTTGTGTGTGTGTGTGTGTGTGTGTGTGTGTGTGAATCATTGTTCATCATTTAGCTTTCATTTTCTACATTCATGAGAGCTGTAGCCATATAAGTTATATTAACCATCTAAGAATCAAAGTTATTGTATGGCAGGAATAGAAATCTCAGCTAGAAGAGAAAGCAACCAATCTCGACAATCTAAATTGATGTTTTTTATAGTCAGTGAGGGGTGGGAGCAGACCCTTGGAATCAGTGTTGCAACCCCACTGGTCAGGCTGTAGGGGAGTTTAAGTGTGTTCCTATGTGGAGACAGAGTCTGTGGGGGTTGGGTAGAAATATTTGTAAAGGACTTAGGGCTGACATTGTTTGGAAGGACTTGTTTTCAGAATAGGAATCGATTTATGGTTGTGGGTGATGTGTTCTGGGGCCATATTGTCAAACAAGGGCTAACAATTCTTTGGTAAGGCCAATCAACACGACTGGGGTTTATGACCAGTCGGGGTTTCTGTGCAATCTTCCTTTATTAGAAGTATTTCATTTTTAATTATAGTGTTTTAAAACAAAGTTTTAGTTTAAAGCCTTCTCCTATTTTAGCCTTTTGTTTGTGGTTTCTGCCTTTCAAGTCATTCTGAACATAGTGTGTCCATTCAAATTCAAATACACCTTTCAGCTTTAATTTTTCTGTTGTGCTCATATTTATATGTGTTTTTGATACTAAGTTTTGGTGATGTCACTGCTATTTCATTGGACTGAATTATAAGTCAACTCTGAAGACAGAGACTACATTAAAATAGCAATGAAACAAGAAATTAAAAGGAATAGCAATATTTATAGCTGGGCATGGTGGCGCCGCCTTTAATCCCAGCACTCGGGAGGCAGAGGCAGGCAGATCTCTGTGAGTTCAAGGCCAGCCTGGTCTACATAGTGAGTTCCAGGACAGCTGGGGCTACAGAGAGACCCTGTCTCAAAAGACCAAAAAAAAAAAAGAATAGCAATATTTAAAGAAATGCCGTTCTGTGTCTGGAATAATTGCTTGAAGACATTTCCACCTTGTACTAAGGAATCAGAGCAAACTGCTTAAGGGTAAACCTTTGTCAGTGGGGCAAGAGGGGAGAGCTTTGCCATCTCATTATCCATTGGAATTGGAAGTGCTCCTGCTGCAGATGGTTGTATAAAGCCTACAATCTTTTCTCTGAGTCAGTATTCCAGGCTGGAACCTTTCTCCGTCTCCCTGCCTGTTTCCCTGCTCTTGTGCTGCTCCAGGCTTGGGGCCCTCTTTATCTTTGCCATGATTTCATCTCAGGACCTTTATGTTGATTGCTCCCTCAGCCTTAAACTCCTTCATCAGAAAACAACAAAGTTCAATCCTTAATAGCTTTATGAAGTTTTTCTACAAATGTGTCTCAGTTAGGGTTCCCCCAATCATTTTAGGAGTGCAACCACCTTCCTTTAGCCCTTTGATAGTCCTTCCTTTCCACTACTCATTTATCACCTGACTTGTAGTATAGTTAGCGGTCATATGGTCACAGCTCACAATTCATGAATTGTTAATGTTTATGATTTACTGTGGGAGTTTCAGTTATAATACAAGCTCCATGTGTTCAAGGGTCTTCATCTTATTGATATGTACGTATATGTATGTATTGAATAGCAGGTTTTCTATAAGTATTTAAAAATTAAGTATATATTCTATTTCAAGGTAATTTATTGGAAGAAATTTTATTTAACCCAGCTGGTTAATTGCCTGAAACAATATTTTTGATGTTTTTTAACTATAGATTTTAATCCATGACATAATGAAAACAAGAAACATCAATTAGTTAGTGATAAAGTATGCATTTTTTGTCCATATCCTTAGCTCATAGGCCTGTACTTTAAAATTATAGATAGCAACCTATGTGGTCTGTCTTTTGAGAAAAATAACTGATTGACCCTGTGTGGTGGGAAAGCAAGTCCAGTCCCCTCTCTCCTCTGCTGCTCAGGACAAAGGAGATCTAGCAATGGAGATACTAGATCCCCTGTGGCTTGTCTTTGTCTCGCACAGATCTAGGAGGAATATGTACAAAAATATTCTTCCATATTCCTACTCTTCCTAGTAAACAGCTCTGCTAGCCTAACCCTAACCCCTTTGAATTGAGGCTAGATTCCCTATCTAAGTGCCTCCAAGCCCAGATTCTTATAATCACAATAGTAATTCTATTGAGAATCAGTAGTCCAGACAATAAAGCTAAGGATGCTTACCTTAGAACAACCATCCTCTGCAGAGAAGTTACAAAAGTAAGGAATTCCCTTTGTCCCCCAGGAGCCTAGTGAGTCCCAGGTGTAGTGCCTGGTGAATGAAGACCCTGCCTTACCTGACATATACCTCAACACCTTTGTATCTCTCTCTCTCCCACTGGTCTCTTTATTTAATACATATGTGTGAGAAACTTTAATAATGACAAATGTCAAATATCTATATTGCTTTAAACGCATTATAATTTTGATTTTTAGAATATATTATTTTTATATTTGTCAGTAAAAATTTTAAAGGACATCTTGTTTTTCAGAGCCATGCATTGTTAATGTGAATAACATGAACAGAAATAACATAGAGATGAAGTGGAACTATGAAGGCAAGATCTTACATGGAGACTTAATAGATTTTGCCTGTAAACAGGGATATGACTTGTCTCCATCAACCCCACTGTCGGAGTTATCTGTGAAGTGCAATAGAGGAGATGTGAAATACCCTGTGTGTGTTAGAAGAGGTAAAAAAACTAATGCTGCTAAACAGTCTCTTAATTGATTAATCTCTCTACCATCATCTTCTGCTCCAAACTGGAATTGATCTTATTTACGATTTCTAGTCAGCACATACACTTGCTTAGGAAGACTATGCTAACATAGTTTAACCCCAATGAGAAATTTATAAAGGGAAGAGTGAGAAGTTTCATGACTATCCCAGACTATCAGAGGTTTGGTTATATTCAGCAACACTGTAAAACATCTCTTTACTCAGAATTTGCTAGAGATCATTGTCTGAAAAAAGGTTTTAGGGTAGAATGTGAGAGATTTTTGTTTACTCCTTGGATATAGGGACTATTTCTTTTAATAAAAGAAAAGCAAGTTAATGCATATGGAAGGTATTGCTTTAAGTCATTATATACGTTTCACCTTTGGCTAGACTGAAAGGGAAAAATAAAAGCATATTGTTAATATTTTGATAGTTGTAAATATATATTTAAGTTTTGTAACATGAAAGTCTAATAATGATAATAAAATTTATAATATATTATTGAAGAACAATCTTCAATATTAGAAATATTTGAGAACTGCCTTAAAAACACCTTTTTAAGTCCATGAAATATCTCATTTTATTTCTGCAGCAATTATCAAACCACAGGAAGTTCATTAAAATATTTATTGTATTCTTCATAATTGTTTTTCAGAATCTGAAGGAATGTGTACATCTCCTCCACTTATTAGAAATGGAGTCATTATTAGTTCAGCGACAGTCGGAACCTATAAAAATGGGTCTACAGTAGAATACAGGTGCTTTGACCATCATTTCCTACAGGGGTCTAGGGAGACCTATTGTGTAGAAGGAGAGTGGACTGCACCACCATTGTGCATAGGTATGTACTGCTAAAATATGCCTCTGTTTGATAAAATGCAATGACACATGTTTACCTTTCTGCCATTTTGAGTTGCTATGACACTAATACAGCTCTTGATTTGCTACATTTGTCTCAATGATATTCCTACTTAATCACTGGCTTCTAGTCTTTCCTCTGGATCACAAATAACAATAGTCCAGCTTATTCTTCCCAATTGTGTACAACCCATGAACCATGTACTAGTTTGATATTATGTTTTAAGGAAAGCCATAATGGTGTTAATGGTGTAAGTAAAAATGCTCACAATTATTATTAACAGCAATAATAACAAGTATTACTCAGTTTTGTACTATAATACAGAACTAGAGTACAATAGTGGAACAAAGAACCAGCCATGCAGATATGGAAAGATGAAGTGAGCCAATGCTTATTAGCAAGGTTTCTCAATGCAAGTCACATTTCCCAAGAACCTCAAAAGACATAAAATAGCTTATCTATAAATAATAAGGAGACTAAGTCTCTGTGATTGTCACCGTTATCTCTTTTTCTTATCTTATTTCACTTGCGAGGACATCAGTATAATGTCGAATGGAAGAGGGAATACAGTGGTATTGTAAACACATTTTTAAAATTAGGTCAAAATAGAGAGCTTTTAAAATTTCTATTTTTCCTGAGCACTTTGAAATAATTTTCAATGAATGATTAATTCTAGCTCTAGCTGTTGAAATGTCAGATGATTATCACTTCATTTAAAAATTTTTTATTTAGGAGAATTTTATTTATTTAGGAGAATTTTATACATGAGTATTTTCTTTGCATTTTTTCATCCTTCCCTGTCCCACATCAGCTCCTCCTGTGTTGCCCCTTTGCATTTCAATTTCTTGTAATTTTCCTTGTTTATTATTGATACATATACATATATATATTTATAAATTTACATATACACAAACACAGACACAGACATACACATGTGTGTGCACGTGCACGCATGCATGCAGGCACACACACACACACACACACATACACACACATAAATGCACTGAGTCCATTTAGAGTGTCCATGTATACCTGTGTTTAGAGCTGTCCGTTAGGGATTAGATAACCTCTCAGGGAGTTAGTCTCTGGAAAAAACTGATTCTCCCTCCCACAGCATGTATTGATTGTCTGTAGCTTTTTGCCTTGAGGTGGGACCCTTGACATTCCCCTCACATCTTGACTGTCATCTGGTTTTATCATTATACAGATCTTGATAGGCAACCATACTGTGGAGATTTCTAGAATGCCTAAGTAGCAGAAGGTGTCTTGTCCCTCTGGCCCCTACATTCCTTCAACTCCCTCTTCCACGATGTTCCCTGAGCCTTAAGTATAGAGGTTTCATTGTTGATATGTCACATAGGGCTGGGCACCTCACAGTCATTTGTTATCTACATTTGACTAGTTATGGAACTTTGTAATAGCCTCCATTTGTTGCAAAACAAAGCTTCTTTGATGAGTGGTGAGAAGTACACTTGTCTGTAAATATAAGGATATGTATTTAAAATTAAGAAATTATGTTGGTCTAGGGAAGGGGCAAAAGTAGTTTTTTCCCTCGGGCCTATGACCTCTTCAACCATGTGCACTTGGATATGTTTACAGTACCACACATGAGTTCCCTTCCATTGTGTGGGCCTTAAGTCCAATTAGAGAACTGTTGATGACCTCCAAGGTAAAAGTTCCATTGCTGTACCAGTAGAGATTATCACTTTATTCTCTGTGCATTCAATGAGCTATGGTGCTTCATGTTTGAATGTGGAGATATGATTAAAGTCTCATAAGAATATTCCACATGGTTAAGACGAACTGTGATTTTTTAAATGTGTTTAGTTTTATTTGATAATATCTTCTTTTGGAGTTCTGCATGTGTTTTCATTAGAGAGACTGGTCTGTTACTTTCTTCTCAGGGTTAGTATCAAGTTTCTGCTGACCACATACAATGAACTGGGAAGTGTTTCCTTTGTTCAGTTCTCTGGAATTTATGTAAGATTGATATTATTTCTTTGTTAATGATTGGCAGAATTGATCAGAGAAGCTACCTAGCTCTTGAATTTTCTTTGTGTAAATATTTTAGTGAAATGAACTTCTTTAGTACATAGTAAGCTGCCTCTCTTCTGTTAGTTTTTTCAGAGAGTGGTTTCTTGGAGCTTACCCATTACATCTGACAAATCTATTGGCATGCTGCTATTGTCACATTCTTTTAACTTCATTTTAATACTTTAGTGAAGTATTTTATTATTACATGTGTCTCTTTCTAGACTTGTCTTGCTATGTATGTTATTATCCTGTAACAAAATTAGTTTATAAACTTTACTAGTCTTGTTAAAGAGAGAATATTTACATTGATTAGTTCTCTTGTCAGATGTTGCTTTCCGTTTCACTGAATTTATGTTCTCTATTTCCTCATACACATTATTAGCACTATTTAATTACTATTTTTCTGGCTTACATAGATAGATACCTGGGTTATTGATTTTTGGTATATAATTTTTCTTTATATATGAACTTGACTATGCAAATTTTCTTCTAGGTACAACTTTAAATTCATCCTCACATTATTATATTTTGGATTTTTACTGATCTAATTCAAAATTTTTTTATCTTTGTTTGTGTGTTGTGTATATGATGAATGTGTGTGTAGGAATGTTCATGTGTGTGAGTGCAGGTATGCCACAGCACACATATGCAGATCAGGGAACAACCTAGGGTAAAGATTTTTGTTGTTTTGAACTGTTTCAGACAGTGTCTCTTGTTTTCCATTGTGTACATCAGGCTAGTTGACCTGTGGGTTTCCAGGTATCCTCCTGTGTCTGCCTCCTATGTCCTGGTAGGAGCTCTGCGGTTACAGATGTACATTGCCACATCTGGCTTTATGTGGGTTCTAGGTATCTGCACTCAAATCCTTGTGCTTGTGCAACAAGTGCTTTATACACTGAGTCACCTCCCAGACCTCAATTTTTTAAAATATATATATTTTCTATTGAATTTTTGTGCATTTCATATACTATGTCTTAATCTAATTTAGACCCCCTTCCCTGTCTTCTTCCCCTTAGTGCTCCCCGCAGCACTGGATTTCATGCATTCTGTTATATATGTTAAGGTCTGTCAAATCAAGTGTTCCCAGATGTCCTTGCATGTGAGTTCATTCACTGGAGCCTGGTCAGCCTATCTAGCATCACTCCCTTTACAATATTCATTTTGATACCTTCTATGTGCCCTAAAACATTTAGAAGTTTCTTTTAAGTTATAAATATTTCAGATTTCTTTCTTTCTTTCTTTCTTTCTTTCTTTCTTTCTTTCTTTCTTTCTTTCTTTCTTTCTTCTTTGGGATATAGAAATTCTTGATATAGGATAGATATGTAAGCACTTATTAGATATACCATAGATAAATGTTTATTCTACCTTGTTGCACTCTCTCTCTCTCTCTCTCTCTCTCTCTCTCTCTCTCTCTCTCTTTTTGTCTTTCTGTCTCTCTGTCTTTCTCCTCCTCCTCCTCTTCTTCTTCTTTTTCAGTCAGGGTCTCCCTGTAGCCCTAGCTGACCTGGAACTAACTACGTAGTACAGGCTGGCCTTGAACTCATAAAGATATGCCTACCTCTGCTTCCCAAGTGCTGGGGTTAAAGGCATGCACCACCACGCCCGGGTTTTGTTGTTTACTTTTTTTTCATTTTAGAGATTCTCTACTTTGACATATGTTATGTTTTTCCTTTTAAATCAAATTATACTTGCATTGTAACAAGCATATATATATATATTAGGATAGTGTTATTTTGCTTTAATTAATTTTGTTGTTGAATATATGTCACTTGGATTGAATTTTGGTTTTTATTTCATTAACTCCATCTATATCTGTACTTATTTGTGCTTGTTTTCTTATCAGTTATTAAGAAAAGCACTTTGAATTCTTTGTACATTTAAAGTATTTCTCATTTTAATTATTTAAAAAATTTCCTTTTGTATAGTTATACTTTTTTATTAGATGCACAAAATATGAAAGTAGGCTAAATCTTGATGGGTTGCCCTGTGTAATTTTTTTTACACCTGATTACTTTATTTGTTTTCCAGTTAATTATTTATTTAATAACACATACTTAGACGAAGCATTTCATTGCAACAACATTGGCATATTCAATAACAATATTCTGAGCCAAGATGCATCTTTTTCAAAATTGGCTATAAATTTTTAGGTTTACAGTTGAATTGTTACAGTTATACAATATTGTACTCAGCATAAACCCTATAAGATATACAATGAAATGAGGTTTTAACCTTTAAAAAAGATCTCCATTTCATTATTAAAATACAGTTTCATACAGAAAAATCGATTTTCAGTGCAATTGACATTAAGATGTTTACACATGCATTTCTAATCTCTATATATCTGATTATTACTAGTGACAGTCGGTTACTTTCTGAGCTCCTTGGCATCTGAGTATGGATATAAAGTCATCAGGTAGATTTCAAAGGTAATTTTTTTCATATCTACTAATTATTATTATTTTTTAATCATTTAAAATTTTTTTAAATAACTACATGACTAGAAGAAGCATTTCACTACAGATTTGACATATTCAGTAACACACTCCAGAGCAAGAATACATCTCTTTCACAAGTGGGTGCAAGTTTCTAGGTTCACAGTTGAGTTAATATAGTTATACAATATTGAACTCAGTATAAGCCCTGTAAGACATAAAATTGGATGAGTTTTTAACCTTTAAAAAGATCTCCATTTCATTTTAGAATATATTGTTCCTTGCAGAAAGACACATTGTTTTTGCTACTAACACTGAGATGTTGGCACATGCATCTCAAATCTGTATGCATCTGATTATTACTAGTCATAGTCGGTTGCACTTGGACCCTTGGTGCCTGTATATGTCTATGAAGTTATTGGGTGTATTTCAATGATAATGTTTATCACCTCTACTAATTAGTATGATGTAAATTTCCATGCTTCCTTCTCAAATATAATACATTTTAAAAAA